CACAGCTCACAGCAACCTCAAACTCCTGGGCTCAAGCAAATCTCCTGCCTCAGCCTCCCAAGTAGCTGGACTATAGGTGCCTGCTACAATGTCCAGCTGTTTTTTTGTTTTAGCAGGCTGGGGCTGGATTCGAACCCACCAGCCCTGGTGCATGTGGCTGGCACTCTACGCACTCAGCTATGGGTGCTGCCCTCTGGGAGACTGTTCCTTCCCAATACAGATACTTCCCCTTCCTCCCTGCACTCCTTTCTTCTTGCGTAGAATATGGAGGAAAGGCCAAGAGATACAGTGTTATCACTAAGGACAAAAACCAAAAGCTCAAGGATGGCCAAGAAATAAAGAATGATCTTAGGACACTGATGATAATGTGAAGCTAGGCTTCATATTACATGAGAAAAGTAAAACCCTATAATGGGACTTTTCTATTATATACAGCCAAACAGAATCCTAACTGAGATTAGCTTGCTATTATTCTCCTCAACCTGTTATTTATTAAAGGTTCTAAAGCATATGATAAAATCAATAAAAGAAAGAAAAGGATAAAGATTTAAAAAGAAGAAACAAGATTGTAGATAATAAGTTGATTATATGGAAAATTAAAGACTTCAGGCAAACTATTAGAACTTTATCAAGGTTGCTGGATATAAGAACATATAAAAATCAACCATATTCTTTTATACCAGTCACCAAAGAGTTAAAATATAAAATGATGTTAATCACAATAATAGAAAAAAAAATGCAGTTGGAGCAGCACCTATGGGGTGGTGGGTTCAAGCCTGGCCTCCAGCCAAACTGCAACAAAAAATAGCTGGGTATTGTGGCAGGCACCTATAGTCCCAGCTACTTGGGAGGCTGAGGCAAGAGAATCGCCTGAGCCCAGGAGTTGGAGGTTGGTGTGAGCTGTGACACCATGGCACTATACCAAGGATGATGGGGTGAGACTCTGTCGCTATAAAAAAAACAAAAAATAGGCTCAGCGCCTGTGGCTCAAGTGGCTAAGG